TAAGGCTGTATAGCTGCTTAACTGTGCTTTTGTTAGCTTTCTGAAGATGGCAGTATGGCAAGGATGGAAATTTATCTCAGTTTGGAGTAGGAGAAACGGGCACAGCTTGAGTATTATTTGTATGTACTTGTTCATAAACAGGGATGTGCCAGATGAGCTTCCAGTGTGGGTTGGTGCAAATGAAGCGAGGAAGAGCTGTCTGATTTCACAAGTTGGTGATAATGTATTTGCTGCAGTCAAGTAAGGTTCATATTTACTTTTATTCATAACAAGTTGTGTAGAAAACAAACCATTATTAATGTAGCTATCTTACTGCGCCTCTTTATTCCTCAAGAAACCCTCCCTTACTCCTACTCTGATAGCAAGCTTTAAGCTGCCCTGAAAGTCTTCCATAGGCTTCTTGAAAATGTTTTCCTTTTATAAATAGAATGCTAAGAGTTAGTTGTCTGAATCTTAAAATGTACTGGAATGACTGCAAGGGGGATAGGCTCTTAAGGAAAAGCTGCCCACTTAATGTGTCAAAGAACTTTGTAGGTAAAGAATAAAGCATCTCAAACAGTGGTGAAGAAAATCTGATCATTCTAAATGATAAGGTGTAGCTTTTGTTTTTCTTGCACACTTAAAACTACACTTTATATTCTAAAAAGAGTAACTACAGGAAGCCCTGTTTCTGAGCTGGGGCATGGAGATAGAATTCCTTGTTTCATGTCCTTTACCATATCTTGCATCGTGAGCTTAAACAGTGGAAGTGTGAGTACTCCTGTCTAATGACCTGCCAGTTAAAAATGGAAAGCTCTCTGAGGACAGATTCGTGTCAGTAAGTGGAAGCATACTAAGGAAACCTCCCATAAAGAGCTCTCATGTAGTGCAGTCCAGTGATGGCATTTGTTTAAGAAGCACCATAAAGACGTGTTGATGTGCATGACTTGGATGACAAAAAGTGTATGAGGCACTGAAGCAGTAAACTGAATTCTTCACATAGCAGCGTGTATAGTTAAGTTCCTGAGCATCTTCAGCACCTGCAGATTGCGTAAACTGTATTGTAATACAGCAAATACAGATGGGACACAGCACAGTGTGCACTGTGCTTTAAAACCCTTTGGCTGTTCTGGTTGTTAAGAGGCCTGAGTTCCTAAGTCTGTGCCTAAATAAACCCATGACTGCTAATCAGCATCGCAAGATTTGAAGGTGCAGTGAATAGAGGGCTGTTTGTTTGTTTGTTTTCTGCTGAGCTCTTTTAAGACGTGTTTCTTCTGTTCACAGGTTATTTTTGTCAAAAAAACTTAAGGAAGTGACTGATAAAAAGAAAAATGCTGTTTTGAAAGACATAGATGAAAAGCTAACAAGGACAGCAAAAGAATTGGGTTATTCTCTGGAACAAAAAACCATGAAGATGAAACAGAGAGATAAGAAAGTAAGACTTTCCTGATGCACTGGAGACAACTGAGTTCTGTTAAACTGCTTTTCTTTTATTTTTTCTCCACTTACTTGCCTGATTTTTTTTTTCTTCCTTTCTTTGGCTTCCTTCTATTCAGTAAAGAAGCATCTCTTAAAAATTTCAGAGCAAATCATCACTACAAAATTTCAGGAAAGGGAAGATCAATAGAACTGTGTTCCAAATGTAGGATTGAATTTAAATGCTTTATTATTCTTATAACCTGTAGCTTAGCAAGTAAGGCATTAAAGGGAAAGCAAACAGAAACAAAACTACAGGGGAAACAGTTTAGAAACTGAAACAAATGGGGAAGAACCTAGACATAGAACCATAGAATGGCTTGGGTTGGAAGGGACCCCAAGGATTGTGAAGCTCCAACCCTTCTGCCACAGGCAGAGCCGCTATAAATGCCTCATTATTGAAGGTTCGCTACGAACAGGAACGTGGAGGGTGATAGGTATCAATAGGGGGATTTTAGTCTATTTTCTGAATACCTATCAGAAATAATTTTGGCAGATGAGCGAATCCAAGGATTCCTACATTTCAGAACATCATTGGAGTTTTCAGTTCTGTTAAACTTCAGTGCTTAACAGTAGCTGCTGCACAGTTTAAGGTGATGTCCTTGAGGCTGGGTGCTGCATTTGGCTTGACCACCACAAGTCAGGTGCTAACAATGCTTTCATGTGAACGGTTTTATGTCGTAGCGTTGCCTTACAGCACTAGGTTCAATTTCCTGGCTCTTTTTTAGGTGGTGGCCAAAACATTTCATGGAGCAGGCCTGGTTGTTCCTGTAGACAAAAATGATGTTGGATACAGAGAACTTCCCGAAACAAACGGTAAGCACCTTGTTTACTGTGTTCTTCCACTTTCATTTGGCAGCCTCCACTCAAATCTAGTCAGCAAAAAACAAACTGCAGTCAGTTTTTCTACCTAGAGAAGACGAGTAGCTGGGAGTAAAGGGCAGAAGCTTTAACCATTGTAATGTAACTGATTTTTTTTTTTTAATAAATCTGATAAGAGTCAGTAAAACATATTACATACTACTACTGAAGTAACAACTCCTAAGGTAGCAGTTTAGTCTACACTGCTGTATTGGCACAGCTGTGCAGGAAGGATTCTAAAAGAACTGATCCACACTCAGGGATGTTTTGGTTTTGTTTCTCATTTTGCCTCTTCTGGTGCTGTTCTGACCTGAACCAGTTCGTTGATGCAAGTTTTGATATGTGGATACCCATCTCTGAAGGGGGGACTGAGGTAGGGTGGATACAGGATGAGAAGGAGCTGTAAAGGGTGTAGCTCAGGGTGTGTCATTTAATCTTCAGTTGAGACCCACGGGGATACTTTTGGCAGAAGCTGCTTTGATGCAGTATTCTTTAATCTAAACATATTTCTGCTTTTATTTTTGCAGCTAATCTTAAGAAAATATGTAAGGCCATTGTTGATGCTCCTACTGATGATGAGAGGCTGAAGGCGTTTGCACCCATTCAGGAAATGCTCACCTATGTTCAGTTTGCTAACGATGAATGTGACTATGGAATGGGATATGAACTGGGGATGGACCTTTTCTGCTATGGCTCACACGTAAGTACCACAGAAGCCATGCATGTTGCAGTCACACATTATTTTATGTGTAGGTCAGGGGTTGGTGTGTATCACAGCTCTTTATTCCTAGCTCTTATCACATGCTTGTTGCTAGGAACCATGGAAGTCTGTGCGGATGTTCTTAGTGTGTGACAACAGCTAAGAAGTCGTATTTATGACTCTATTCCACGTTAAATTAGAAACAGTTTCTATGATGCCACGATCCTCCAGGTCAAAAGAATTTAAATGGCACTTTTGTGATTTGATGTGCACATGACAGTGAGTCATGCTGAAAAAAATGCAGAATTCTTAGTCTAGATATGCAGGATAGATACGAAGCTCCCTTTCCCCACCTGCTTTTATGGGCTCAAGCACTCGTGCTGAGCTTGATCAAGAAACAGGCTGATGTCTGTCTGCAGTCATCCCAGGGGGTAAAAAAAATTGACCCTGGGGTCTTTTGCCTGTGTGCACTTCCCAGACGATGGCATGAAGCCCTCCCACCAGTCTGCTGTAGCCTGTAGGTTTCTGGATGTTTCTTTCTGGCTTGCTGAGGCTGTTCTGAGTTGACTCATCAGCGTTTAATCATACCTAAAGGCTCAGTGTAATGCTCCTTGTTGTCTGTTCACCCTCACCACCCTCCTCCCCCCTCGACTGAGAAGGGCCATGGCTGCAGGGACATCACGGTTGGCTGTTTCTCACCTCATGCTGTCAGCCACCGATGGAACGCTGCTGTTCCTGCTGCAGCTCCACATAGAGGTGCCCCAGCCCTGGGGAGAGGTGGGCCTGGAGCAGGGCTGCGCTTAGGGCTGCTGTTCTCTCTTGCAGTACTTCCACAAGACCGTGGCCCAGCTGCTGCCGCTCGCCTACAGCCTGCTGAAGAGGAACCTCTTTGCCGAGGTGATTGAGGCGCACCTGGCGGACCGTAGGCAGGAGGGCCTGGACCGCCTGGCATCCTGAACTGGGGCAGCACCAGGCTGTGCTCATGTTGTGGGCTGTGGGCTGTTTTATTTGTTCTGTGCTATTTTTCCACGTGGAAACGCGTTCTGTGCTGTTAATAAAGCTTTCCTAAGGACTGGCTGGCTGTTGCTCGCCCTGGTAACCCCTGGCGTGAGGCTATAAACTGATTCCAGCAAGCATCAGTAATGTCCGTTGGTGCTGCTGTTCCCCTCATGGAGGAATTGTCAGTGACATCATTTCACTGGATACGTGCTGCTTCCTGCTTCCATGTCAGACACAGAGTTGTCCCAGCCCCTCTGTTGCCATGTGTCACACAGCAGGAGGTGTTTCTCTCAGAGCACTCCTTGAGCCGTAGCGCTCAGTTTAGTTTAACACACTGTGAAGCCATAGGCCGTTGTAAATCGCAAAGCTATCTTCAGTTCTCAGTCATGCAGCATCTGCTTTTCTAAACCTGATAGCTCCCCCCTTTGGATCAGCATCCAGAGGTTTCATTTATTCAAACATTAGCGAGCAGATACAAGCTGTTCCATGGGCCTTCTCTTTTCAGGCTCCAAACAGAAGATGCTTCCATATCATTTCCCTGTAAGTGACACAAGCATTCACCTTTCACGTTATTTAGTTCTGAACGTCTTAGTAAAAAATGGGGACATCAGTATGTACTTTTGTCTGTTCTCAATGTGAGGTTAATGACTGTAACGTTAACTGGAAAAAATGCTGAAGTGAAATACATTGCAAATAGGCATCTAACAATCTTGCTGTGTTTTTAAGCAGAAGGACTGAAAATGCACTGTAGAGAAACTGCCTGCTTCTACCTGTGGAACAATATAAGCATCACTTATTTTTGAATTAGGAAGCCAACTACTCTGCAATTACATGATTGAAGCAAATCTGAAAACGTCTGTTTCAGAAATGTGTGATTTTTACTGGGGTTGTATTTTAAGCCTGTGGCTGTTTATCCCAGAGGAACTGAATGCAAACATCAACAGAAACACTGTTTGAGAAAAGACGACGGAGTCGAAGCAGCAAATGGTCATACAGAAGTTTTTAATGTTTGATTAAGTCATCACAGTAGTGGGAATTTTTACTGTAATGATACGCAGCTCTACCACACTATTATAAATAAAAACATTAAGATCAATCAATATTAAATACAGCTCTAGGCAACATCACAGATTAACAAAGTATGCATTCTTCATCAACCAGTAACTGAATGGTTTAAAACAAAAAATAATAATAATGCTGACGCTTTCACCCTCCCATCCACCACGTTTTTGTTTCAAATCAGTAACTTGAGTAAGGCGCTGGAAGCTTTACATTAGAAAAATTTTGTTGAACAGCACAGGCACACATACTTCAGTATCAGAATTTCTAATGCATGTTTACGAGACGTTTTTCATGTCAGTGGAGAAAGCTTAGCAGGTAAGAACAGTAACCAGAGATGCACCACTTCTATGCAGCACTTGGGATCCACACGAGAATGATAAAACAGCAGGGGCACGGGCTGCACTGTGTTCCAGACAGTGCAGCCTGTAGGTGGGGTCAGGTGCAAATTACTACACTGCAGTGTATTAGGATGAGGAAACCATTAGAAATGGCAGGGGCTTCAAACTGATTTAAAGCAATTTCTCTTTTTTTTTTTAAAGCTGTAGTGCATTTATATCCTTCCACTACAGAAATAATAATAATAAACAGTAGAGATCAGCCTCAGACAATTTCCTGAGCTGTCCTCCTTGGATGGACCAAACCCTGCTCCTAATAAGGTTTCTGCAAGCTCACACAGCGTAACAGAACAAGTTTGGAGCCCGTAGCACTGACTCACTTGGAAGAGTGCAGCCAGTTGCTGCAGCGCAGCAGCCAGAACACAGCTCAATTTTGTTTCAGTTCCAAAGCTGCTTTCTGCACAGGGGCCGACTGCAGCCCACCAACACATCAGCTTTCCCCTGGTTCCAGTTGATGCAAGAGGTGAGAAAGAGGTGACTGCAGTTTTATATTCTGAAAACAGACAGAGATTCAGCGGAGCACTTGAAGCACTGGCATTGTTTTGGAGCTCGCCAATCCTACCAGGGCACTGCTTGGAGCACGCTGCTGTTCTTCAAGACAAGATCGTGCTGAGCACCTGGCTGAATAAAGATGCTTGAGGTAACTGTGATGACGGCCTGAGAGATGCCCAAGATTTTAGCTTTAAACTTCTGCAGTCTTCTGGGCGAAATGTTAATAACTACATTGTATTTCACCACATACTGTACAGCAAGATTTTGTCAACCACGTTTCTTAGCTTTTTTTACTGCAGACGTACAGCACGCTGCCTTTGTTTCCACGCGTGTTTGTGGTGCTTTGAAAAGCTGAAGAACAATTAATCTGGTGGCCAAAAGATGTTAGGAATGTGTCAGCTCACCTCTGGCGCGTGTGGTGCTGCTCAGCTCTGAAGTCCTGCCAAGCTTTCAAGTACTGGATTCGATTCCGCCCTGCTGCTCATCTTCTGTGGCTGTGTATCATTCACACCTCTGTGTACTCAGAAAAAAAAGTCTAAAGCAATCTAATAATTATAGTTGCTTCCTATTCGTTTTAAAACCCTGATTTTTTTAAATAATGTTTTTAGTATTACTGTTCCAGTTATCTGCTCAGAAAGGGAAAAGGAAGTCTTAAGGTAACGGCAGTGAGAGTTACATCTGAAAATCACCTTATGTGCATGTTGGATTGTAAAGAAACAATTTTGTTTAAACCCTTCATCTAGTTGTAAACATTTGCTAATCCTCCATTACTCGCAGAGGATTACGAATTATTATATAAAATCACATTAAAAAGGTAATTAGTTAGGTGAGACATCAACTGATTTGTATTTAATAGATTTTTTTCATTCATAAAAATATAAATAATGGTAAAACCTCAAGAAAAATAATATACATTAGTGCAAGTTATGAGTTACGTTTCTTCCTACCATGTCAGCAGTGGGACGTCTTTTGTTCAGAAGAGAAAATAAAACTGAGCGATCTCAAACTTTACAGAGGGGAAATATCTCCAGTGCTGTAGCATGCATTTTTCCAGATACACGTATACAGAATTGTTCCAGCTCTTAACTAGTAGAACAGCAGTACTCTTCCTGATACTGCACAACATTGGTATATACCCTAGTGCTTCGACAATACAAAAATTGCATAAGATCAGGTCACATTGATATTTTCTGCAGCAAAACCAGCATTTTTCTCTGCAACTCTACTTTCTTTTGTTTACTTTTTCTCTCATCACGACAGATGGGCTGAAAGATGTTTCGCATGGCTCTTGCAAGGCATTTCCTGCTCAGTCTGCTTTTGTCGCAGTAGATCTGTACTGCCCCAAGCACTTCAAGATGTTCGACCTTATGCACCTGATGGCACAAGCAAAACCTCCCTCCTTGTGATCCAACCTCAGTAACTCACAGTACATCTCAATATGAGAAACAACTACTTCAAAAGGGCACACCAATTTAAAGAGGCTTTGTTACGGCTCAGGAGAGAGAGAAATAAAGCTCTTCTGGAATGTAGGAAGGTGACGTGTAATAATTATACATTTCATGAGCTAACACAACAGTTTTCAATGGTAAAAAGGGCAAGACCTTTCAGTCTCCATAAGATGGCTCAATTCAGAAGGATCCCTCCAGAAATAGGGACTAGTAACACATCTCTTTGATGCTGAAGTACCAGGCTGGGGCTGGAGAATTGTGCCACCTCGCACGGCTCTCCCACTGCACTATCATGGCAGACCGGACATCTCAGGACGCATCCAGTGCAGGACAGCAGCTCCATGCTCCCAACAGCCTTCCTCCTCTCCACATCCTCCCCCAGACCAACTCCTGATTTCCAGCAGCACCGTTACGCAAAAACCCAGCTCTCGTTTCTGATTTTTAGAAGTATCTCCCAGACTAAAGTGTTGTGCTATTCAACAAATGAACCTCCTCTTCAGTCTCCTCTCTCTCCTCAGCTATGGGTTTCAGTTGAACATTATTGAGGCGGGGTCTTGGTTTGCCGTCTGGGCCATATGACGGAGGATATCTTTTTTTGTTATGATGCCAAGGAGGCGCCTGGAAAGGATAAACAAACATCAGCATTAACCCGAGCGGGGAGAGCGGTCCAACAGAGCACATCTGTAGCCAAGTCCTTTTTGTTGACAGGGACAGAGCAAAAGTCAGCAGCCCGATTGTCTTATTTAAACAAAGGCATTTCATTAATCAAAGTATTTGGTAACCACCGGTTTGTTAAAAGACAGCAGTGCTGAGACACCATACCTGGATGGTCTCTGACAGCTGTGGTCCATTTTAATTAAATACAAGCAATGCAAGTAGAGCCCGTGACTATTTTTATTTGAAGTTTTGTTTCGGCAAAAATGAAATTTGGTTAGCTATGCCAACAAAAAAGCAAAAGAAAAATAAAATAGAGAAGGACAAAGAAAAGGAGGTATGAAGAAGAAGTGATACCGATCCCATTTCATAAGGGAGGTGTGTTCCGGCCAAGGCACCACAAGTGACACACTGCTCGATGGCCCCCAGATCCTAGCAGGGAATCAGACTCGCCTCCCCTTCTTTCTTAAAATCACAAGGGCCTTTCCCATCTGACACACCGGCTCAGACTGAATACATTCATAGGAGCACACCGTATTGCCCATGAAACTTTTGCAAAGCAATGAATAGTTGACTAGGCTTTAGAGTTCACAGCTTCAGAAAATTAATTACGAATAATAAAAGTTTTCATTTTCAACTTTAGATACTGTGCTCTTATGACAGCAACTAAATTGCTTGTAAAAGCAGAACTTTGTGAAACATCAAAAAGGGTGAGACTGTCCAAAAGGATAATATCACAGGAGAAGCAAAGAGCAGAATGAATGAGCTGCTGCCCTTGTTATTCTGGTTAGTACATTTTGGTTTGGGTTTTTTGATTTATTAAAGGACGCATGAAATACTTGTGAAACATTAGCATAAAATGAGAACATAATTAGCACGTTTTGCACATAAGCAGCTAAACTTGGTGGCTAGGTTTAGCAAAGATGCAGCTATTGCAGAGCAACCAATGTCCAAATGAAGACAAAGTCTATCTTACAGCTAAGGTTAGATCACAACATTGTACTCAGAACAGTATGTAGATTCTGAAGTCAACAGCAGATGTATTAGCGTGCCATTTAGTAGCTTAGGGTCCCACTGCAGTGCATAAGTGGCTGCAGGTAACAGCAGCACAATCACAGGACTTTGTGCAGAATTGAAGGACTTCACGCGATTTATTTCCCAATTGATAAATGGGGCTTTCAGGGAAGACCTGATGCTGCAAGACATTGAGAACTGTGCTCCTCAAAATATACGCTGCTTAATCAGCAACTTGACAGCTACGTAAAGCTGCCAAAATCAGCACATGAAAAAAACATGAAATTTACACTGTGGGGGCAAAGCTATTCCTAGCTGTGTGCTTTCCCACTGCGGGGAATCAAAAGGCGGATCTACGAGATTCAAAGAACAAGATACCACATTCTGTTTTTACCTTCCTTTAATGTTGTGACTAACAGACCCTCCATAGGAACTGCTTAATTTCTATGCGAGGATTTTGCACGTATTGTTTTCTGTTACAGTTTCTTTAATACGAATTTTTAATACAGGATTATTTCTTTGTTCAGCCGATGTCATAAAAGTACTGAACAGTTCACAAGTTTCATGCCTCCTGACTTCTAAGGTGTCTAATTATGAGATCTGATATATCTAATCACCAAGGGTTCGACGTGCTGCTTTAGTTGCTCGAGATGCTCTAATATGTTCTTCTTTGTGATGATCCCCAAGACAATCCTGAAACAGATCATGTTATGCTAATAACTGCGTGTGAAATCAAATCAAAAAAGTTCTAGTCACAATGAAAACGGTTTAGAGCAGTGCAAAACTAAAAAAGAAAATGGGTTGCAAGAAAGTTAATGAGATAGTTAAATGAAAATGGTCGGAAACTCAGCACCCTTTCCCAGGCTTTTTTTTTGTCTCCAAATGTCTGATCAGCAACAACCCCACAGCGGTACGTTTCTCTATCACATACACACTGGGGAAACACACTTTAGCCCTTCTCCCCACGTCCTGATCTCTTGAGATTTCAGAGGCACTGAAAGTAAAATCTACTTCCTCTCCTTTGTTTACTAGTTATTTCTCCTCACAAATACAAATCACTATTTGCATTAGAACAAGCTACAGTAAATGATCAAAGCAGTGTCTGTAAAGTCACAGAAACTGAGGTCTGAAGCTTCACTACAGAGCAGCCGTAGGAACAGACAAATTCAATTTCTCATTTATCATAAAATAAATAAAGAGCAGCTCCTTAGAACGGACACAGTGATAAAAGCTGGAAAGAATCGGGCTCAGTCTTTACATATCTCTGTATCTATCATCAGCACCAATTTCTGCACAACTCCTAACTGTAACTGGATGTATGAACACCCATCTAGCTATATATCTCTATTCAACGTGCATGAAATTTGCCACAATTTAGACAAATTCTCTGGGTGGTGCATAGCCAACCGGACCTCAGGGATTAACTATCCAACCTTGTAATGGACAGCACTCTCATGGCAGATCACAAGGTTATAAACTGAAATGGGACAACAAACACGAGGATCAGAAAACAACAAATCAAAGTCTCCCGTATTTGTGGCTACTTTATCGTGAAATAATTAAAAGCTTAGGCTACAGTTTGACATACCTTTACAAGATCAATCTCTCTGCAGAGCCATTTTTCACATCAGTGTTAATGTTTGAACACTCAACCACAACAGAAACTAAGAGAAAAACCCACAGTAATAAATATTTATCACTGAAGTTTTACCAATTCAAATTTCCCTGCATCAACAGGAATAACTGTATGTACGTCTGCAGTGATTTTTAAGTGGCAGATCATGATGGCTTTTTCCTGGCAGAGAAAGCTTTTTGTAAGAGCTGCTTATGCTTCTCAAAGCACCTACTTGCCATTCCATACAAAGAGGAATTTCATAAAAAGCAAATTAAAAAAAAAATAATCAGAAAGCAACAATAACAACAAAAACCAGGAGCACATTTAAGATACATTTGTTTTAGAAGACATCTTAAGAAACAAATTTGGAAATTTGCACTATTTCAACATTTGCCCCTTAGAGCAGCACTCCTTATGTCCAGAGCAAAAATAAATAAATACCATCTGTGTTTAAGGTTTCTTAGCTTTGTCCCACGGACAGTGGTACTAAATAATGTAGGTTAGCAGACAGTGCTTCACTTCTCATGTGATTTAAAAAGATGCTAAAGAGAAAGCAAGATACTGTGGTAGAAGCTGCACCATCACGTGCCAAGTGCTTAACACAAGAGATAGAGGAAAGCAGAATGTTGAAGTAGAACCATACTCAAAAGACCTTGTATAAAAAGAAAGTGGCCAGATAAGAGGCAAATATAACAAGATATTTTGTGTTTCCACACCTAGGGCTGATTTATTAAACAGTGACCACATACCAACCCCCCACAGTCACGTTTACCAACACTCTACATCTTGAAGTCACCTTCTTGAAGTATTTTGAATCGTACAATCGCTGCAGACTGAAGTTTCAGAACTAGTAGCAGTTACTTAGTTTTAGTATTCCAAAACTAATAGCTTGGTGGTTTTTTTTTACTAAATTACTAAACTCCAGAAGAGGAGTTATCCAGTGAACGGATCTTGTTTCTGCTTCGCTTTTATGAACCCAACATTTGTAGATGTTGTACAGCTGATGTATTTTCCACTTTTTAATTACTTTTTTTAAAAGAAAACCTTTAAAATAAAAACACAACACACCGAAACTACCTGCCTGCTTACTTGGAATACAGGAGAAGTAAGAATTCGTGCACCTTCTTGTCGCTGACATCCTGCACCAAATGCATGGGTTCAAATACCATCAAAGCTTTGATCCCAGAAGTGAAAGATCCTATTCCTACCAAAAGAAAACAGAATTGCCCCCACATCACTCACCCGTTGTGTGTCACAAGGCACTGCCTCAAACCCAACTTCCGGAAAATATCCACCACTATTTCCATAGGTGTGTGGTCTGTCACGGTGAAAGGGCTCATGTCAAGTATGCTTCTAAGCTTCAAAGGCCGAGGGCTTTCTGCTGGAAGCGATGGGGTATGCTGGGCAAAACAGACCCTGGAACTGCCAACAATCCCTTCCTGCTTCTTCCTTGCACTTTCTTTAAGGGGAGAGAGGGGAAAAGAAAAAAAAAGAGCAAGAAAATTTACATTTCTGTAGTAAGATCATTCAGTGAAAAGTTCAGTCGACTGGGCTCTGACACTGATACGCTGACATTGTGTTTCTACAGTCACTGCTTTATTCCTAGGATGTGTTTGTGCAGAAATCACAAAAGCTATGTATCGTACAGCTTTAGCCATCCTTCAGCTACTGCCTTTCTCAATCCAACAGCAAAAATAAAACTTATTTGCTCTGGAGAGGTGGAAATACTGAAAAGCTAGCATACAAGAAGCACGCAGCAGCTGAAGCAGTTGTCAAAAATAAAGCTGATCTGATACTTCTTCTACAACAACGACAAATAAATGGTTTCAAACCATCAGTGATTACAAACTTCTCATTTTTGATCTCCTTATGCAAATGTATTTAGGTTTCTGTGAACTTGATCTGTATCCTCTTCAGTATTCGGCTACATGAGCAACTCTCCATGTACCCCGAGCCACCTCACTGAATGACTCCAGACAAAGCTCTACGCACCATGCATTCTCTGCAACTGAAATAAGTTTTAGCTGGGGAAGTGTTTCATCAGAACAATACTTTGCTGTTCCTCCTTCTAGTCTTAGGTAAACACAAACTTAAAATCATACAATACTGTAATACTTTTCAAGTTTAGGACATTTATATACATCCTGCATGGTGTAGGAACACATTGTAAGACCACAGGCAAAAGTTTTACTTCAGGACTTGGTGTTGTGCTCCTAAAAACCTTTTTTTCCAACTTTCTGAAAGAGGACATTGCTTTTTCAAGCAATTGCTTTTTTCCCTAAAGAGATATTTGTCAATATACAGCCTTTCAAATTGTGAAAAAATACGAGTATTTTAAGATACAACTTCTATCACTGATTTTATGTACAAGTATTTCTTAAACAATAATTCTATTTCCCTTTGCTGGCGATTGCAATTTCCAAATCCACATTTCTTTTGCCAAGGCACAAAGCACAGCCCTAGTTATCATACAGTTTCTAAAAGCCATCCAGAGACAGGGCCCAAACAGGGCATGCGTGCCTGGTTTCATTTTTCACAGCACACAGACAAACTAGAGTGAGAAACATAAAATATTTCACTCATCTCTCCACAGTACAGTATTAGTTGTTGAAAAAAGAAAATCAACAAGAGAAAACAGCAAATAAAATACTCCCAAAGAGAAGCTTGATGCTCATTTACATTTTACAGGGACTTTGACAGTAACTCCGACTGAATCCTGCTCTTTCAAATGGGAATCACTCAATTTTGAAGACGGTTGAGAATTCTGAGGAAGGTTGAATGCCCTTGAGGAAAAGAACTGTCATCAAACACTACAAAACAAACAAAAATACTGGACTAGATGCCAGTCTGGCCTACAAGTCTTGTACACAAAGGCACAAAGATATTAACATTTTATTTTATGGTCTGCTATTGGACATAATCAATATCTTCAGTAAAGCAATAGACTACACAAAGTATCTGGACCTTGAACCTGAAATAAGGAGAAGCACAGAGAGTAAGTTCTCTTTTAAGCTTTACAATAATTTCTATTAGAATATATAATCATAAAATATTGGGAGGTAATTACCTATTGCAATAGTTAAATCTCTTCTTAAAGCAAAGCCCACTAGTCTCTGCGACTCTTTTGACATAATAACTGGAAAACCATTATAGCTGGTTTCGTTGATCAAGTTCTCTATGTCTTCAACTGTCATATTATCCTGGGTTAAAACAGCTAACGGTGGGTCGCTTCTTCGAGGTCTCATAACATCAGCAGCCAGTGTTGTGTGAGTAAACTCCTCCTTTGCATCCAAGAAGGGATATCCATTCAGTCGGATGTGTGCCTCATAGATGCCTTCCCTACCAAAGGCATCTCCTACCCACTTACTGGTCATGACTGCAGCCATTAAGGGCACAATATACTCCAGCCCTCCTGTTAGCTCAAAGACAATAACTACCAGGGACACAGTCATCCTTGTCACACCACCTGCAAGAAAAATGGCAGTCAGTAATGCTTCAGCGTCAAAGAATACTGAACTTGTATTTCCTGCCTTCCTGCTCAGAACTGCAAACATGACTTTGCCATTTACGTCATCTGACAAACATCACAAAAACAGAAGCATACAAGAAAAACGAACGTGGACTTAGGGAAAATTCCTGGAGGTCAGAAAGTAAAAGGGTTTGAAAAATGTGTGCTTCTCTTTCAGGTAACTTAAGAATCCAACTGCATACTTTTACAAGCCACTCCTGAGTTAAAAATACTGAGAAATGAACAAATCCAAACCTAACAAGGTAATAATTTCTAAGAAGAATGACACTAAGGAAGGAACAGATAACAATTCCACAGCTATACCGTTCAAAATATCACAAATATAATGCTGCTGTTGAATTATAAAAACTAAAGAGAACTGTAAGCTGGTGAAAACTTTCTTGAACAGAAGAAAGGAGTTATGTTTGTCCTTTGCCAGCATGCAAAATGTTTGTACTACAAACATTTCTGACACCATGCCTTCTTTCAAAGAAATCGTATTCTTCTTTCAATACATTCAAAGTGCTTTTGGTTGAACCATTTAAAAAAAAGACAAAAATTCCCCCCAAAACAACAGAACAGCCTCTCCAAGAACCAGAGCCATTCCACTACTGCGTGTGATAGCGCTTAAGCTAGGACAAGGCCGTCATGAAATCTATCCTAGTTTAGGAGCGTAATCTTCTTCCAGTGAAGCAGGTTTTCAACAGTTTCTAAATCAGGCCTCATAACAGACCTGTAAGTGGACTCCCCAGATCGTTACGGGCTTCTCAAGTTTCTGTTTGGATTAACGAACTCCAAGAACATTTGTTGCTATTCATGTAGAAGTGCCAGCAGATCGTGTCACCTCCTCGTAGCAACTTCAACATTTTCAACTCTGTTCTATACATTTCGATGTATATGACACCTATAATATGTAACTACTCCTATCGGTGCCAAAAAGAAAAAGCAAACTGCTATTTAAGTTACTCTCCTTCCCATCATATAGTCAATTTCATATCATTCCTCAGATCATAAGGATCCAATAGCTTACACGAAGATATGTGACTGTATTCTTCTGAAGAAAGGGAAGTGCACATTGCAGGTGTTCCAACACAGCACATTTATACATATTGTTACTTTGGTAACACAAAGCAAAACAAAAATCAGACATTCGCTTTGTACAGTTTAGTTACCTAAACAGGCAGCAGCACCAACCATGGCATAAAGACCAGGCGTAATACAGTCAGCTCCAACTTCACACCACTCCTTGAAAATGAACCAGTCGTGATGATAGTAAGCCAGCTGCTCCACTGCAATTCCCACAATCCTTCCTGCTATTGCTCCAATTGCCATACTGGGTATGAACAACCCAGATGGAACCTACAACAGAAATGGAATAACTGCTACCACGCTGATGGGAACGTATTTGTTGCGTATTTTAAAAAGAAATGCAAGTAGTCAGACCATCATTAAAGATACTGCAAGGTTAGGAAAACTTAATGCAAATTCCTAAGGCAAAAAAGCAGATTAACACTTTACTGTTAAAACAACAACAACAACAACAACAACGAACACATGCCTATCGTAATTTCAGTTATTTGATCTGTTTTTCTGTTATTGACCCAAATAGGCTTCATGGCACTGCAATAAGATTTAACTAAACCACTCTGGTACGACAAGTCTTGTTTAGCCCTGTAGCTGTAAAAGGAGCAAGGATTCAACAGAGACATTGCTGTTGTGCCCCTTCTCCTCCTTTCCAAAAAATAAACACCCAGAAATGAAATAAAACCAACAAACAGAAAGACACCAAATCCATACTGCATCTGAACACCTCACTAAACTGGAAATGCCCCTTGCTTCCCCTCATAGCAGTTGTTACTATCAGAAATGTATTCCACCGTGACCAAGGTACGAACCTCAACTACAATTTTTACTTTTTGTCTAAATACACCTTTGTCAAAATCATTTCATTTTAAAAAAATACCACTGTTGTCAAAGGAAAAGCCATTTAATTGTTTTTTCCACTGTAGAGCTGGGAAGTGTATGCATTATGCAGCTTGTAACTAGATTTTGCCACGGGATCCAGTATTTCCGATTCAATTTACATTATTATTATATTGACAACATACATAGTTGCAAAGAATTTCTAACAGGTAAACCAAGGACAAATCAATATAGCACATTTTATTTCAAAGCCATCTGCGTTAACTGTATTGAAAAGGTTTAATAATCTTCATTCCCATCCTGAATCACCTAATATTTCAGTGCTGACAGCAGTAACCGTTCAATGCCATACTGTGCTACAGTAAAATTGTGCACTGACATCACTGATGCCATCTCCTACAATTCATTGTGTGTCTGAAACCTTTCTAATTGTTAAGTACTTTTTTCTTTTGTTTTGCTGAGTGAAAATCATTCTGGGGAACACTACAGTAACACCCTGAAAATTTTTTATTATAGACATAAAAGTTGTAGAATGTATCTTTGAAACTGCTGAGTTTCTAGTCTGCTATACTGAGTGTGCCACAGCAAATTCAGTCTCCAAATGGAGACTACATTCAAATTCCTGTTAGCATGAATTGTTCATGCACCTAGCTCCTTCACTTCATCACATGTGGCTAATAAGTTAAAGGTCTATGCATGGGAACTGCTGAGCCACAGCCTGAACCTCTGATGGATCACCTGAGGCGAGCACTGAGTCAGCCAGAGGAGCACAGGTGAAGGCAATTCAGCTGTGCTGCAGGAAAGGTTGGAGCCTGCTGCACCCCTCCTAGCCCTATTTAAGAGCTGGCTACCAGTGGGGAAGGATTTCTTCTGTAGTTCTGCTCTGCTGGTGTTTTGTGGGTGAGCCTGGGATAGGGGTAAGCTTTCTGTTTATTTTTTTTTTGTTATCTTAGTCTGTTTTGTCAAACTCTCTTCTTTATTTTGTGATTATAACATCTTAATATTCATTGATTTTACAGTTTAACTCTGATTGTGGTTTTACAGGTGAATTTTTTAGCATAAGCCTCTGACTCGCATGTTACAAAGCAAAGAGTGATCTCACCACAGAAAGAAAAATGAAAAAAAATCAGGTTTTACCTTGTCTCAACTTTGTTTTCCAGTGCATACAGTGCCCAACTCAAGTTATACTTTAGAGAAAATGATTTATACTGTGGCAAATGCATCATCTTTAAGACAAACAAGGAATCAGGATATACATGCAAACTTCTCTAGTAATGCAGTTGCATGCCAGTCAGCTATGAGGCAAAGCTGTAATCTCATCCCAAAATGTTCATCTTTGGTGTTTACAAACAGTAACAAGTTTACTGAAAATAGAATCCTGCATACATACAATCCTTTTACTTCTGCAGCTTAGCTGTGTTAAGGCCTGGAAAAAAACATGTTGCCTTAGCAGTCCCCTGTTCATGTCAGTAACAGCAGTGGGAATCACCGTATCCCACAGGCAGCGTAGTTGCTTTGCCAGTAATGTTTCCAACAAATTGCAGTTGGTGAAGTTATGAGAGAAGGAACCAAAATCAGTTAAGAAGCTCTACCTTCATGCAACTTTGTGAATTCTAATACACTGTGTGTGCTCCTGGGCTGACAACTTCGTGAGAAAGATGCACTTGAACAGAGAATGCTAGGACACAGTACAGGTGTTATATTGTTTAAATGGTAAGAGGTATCCTAATGCTTAGAAGGGCAGAGTCCTAGATATAAGTGAAATACTATACGACAGAATTCGAGAGTGAAAACTGAAATTCTGTCTTATGGAAAGCTAACATTTAAAATATACCTAACAGAATTATCTTGCCCAGCAGCCAGTGATCAACAGTGAAGTTTTTAGTTAAGAGATCTAAAACCATATACGGAGAACGAAATCTATAAACAAAGCTGCTAGCTTTGGGCAGTAACAAAGAAAAATTATCACAGTAGATGACGTAGCCGTTGCATTCACACTTACCTTGATACCAAATGTAAAGACAGTCATGATTATTTTAAATATGAGTGCTAAACACAACTGCCATATAGCTGAATAGACTCCAGTGCCTGCTGGACGGTCAGGAATATCATCTACTATTTTGCTTGCGTTCATATCGTTTCTGTAGTCACAGAGGGAGGAGGACTCCAATGGCCCGCAGTCTGTGAAGAGCTCTTTAATAAGCTCACTGGTGTTTAGCCTCGTGTATGGATTGGGAAATGCAATGACAGCTGTTATTGCTGCAACAATGATGACCTCCAGGACAGGGTACTTCCCAAATTTTGTAGATTTGCGTCGACGACACCACGCAATGTTTGCTCGGATGAAAAATGCTCCCCAGAGCCCACCAAATACTCCCAAAAGAATGAAAGGTAGCAGTTCAAAAAGGTACCAAGGAGTGTGATATTCCACATAAAAAAGAACTAGGCGGCTGTTACCAAAAGGATTGATGGACCTTAAAACAAATGCAGCCACCAAAGCAGCAAAAAATGATCTCCACAAAGTTTTCAGTGGGAAATAGTAACTGACCTGCAAAAAGAAATACGTGAGAATTATTTGTAAGTCAATGAAAACAAATCCTGTGAAGACTTGGAAAATAAAGCTAGCAAGAAACATTTCTCGGTGAAAAGAGTTTGATGGCCCTTGTGGTCAGTTTTAATTATTCTTGACTTACTAATCACTGACGTATTCAATTGTGTTTAGCATCTGAAACATTGAAGAAAATAATGTTTGAAAACTTCTTTCAGAGAACAGTCAAATAGGTTTCTAAAATCTCCTATGAAACAAGGAAAGCAGCCCAACAATTATTCTTTTTAGACTGCATTTCTAGAGTGACAAACTGGTGCATCTCTCTCTGTACACTGTAATTATTAGCTGACTCAGCTGAACTCCAGCACAATTGACATTCATCTGAAGTAAATAAACTAATAAAATCTTTCAAAGTTTGTTGGTAACAGAACTCAATTTCAAAATACAAAATTCAATTCTCTTCCAGGTAGGACTCTACAGCTTAATGGAGCCTGAGATTTTTCACACTAAAAGAGATTTTTAAGTACCCTTCCTTTAGTGTTGTCTCCTGACGTACCTCCTCCAGACTGAACAGGACTCCACCAATTGGGGCACCAAAGGCTACAGACACTCCGGCTGCTGATGCAGCTGACAATACCTGGAAAAGAACCATGGTGAAGGTTTTTTGCACTCTGTGGTGTGTTTTAAAATGAAGAACAGTATCTCAGTACAGTTATCAACTCTTTCCCAGGTGGACTTTCTTCGTGAGGTCAAACGCCCTCTGCTGCCCTCACAATTGGAGACGGCTGTCAAAATGAGTCAAGAAGAGAGAAGGTAAGGAAAAATCAAATGGTTTCTTATGAGGTGGGAGAAAGGCTCCAACATGGAAAGTACTTACCTTGTAGAACACTAGGGATTAATGTTGTTTTTAAGATAAAAAAAAAAACTATAAAAAAGCCAAATCTGAACACAAGCTAAGAGAACAAGCAATCTTTTAAAAACCAGTATTTTGGCATTTTTTACTAAGCACGTGGACAATACATTCTAAAAACGTCTTTACAAGAACTTACCTCTCGTTTTTTAGCTTCATTTGTGCTGTACTTTGGAAAGAGGTAGGAAAAAATATTCCCACAGCAGCAGGCAACATGGACCAAGGGACCTTCTTTTCCTAAACTCAAACCTGATGCTACAGCCAGGACTAAAGTGATGGTTTTTATCATCAAAGTCCACTTCCCCAGGTAACCTCTGATGATGAAGCCACTCAAAATAGTTTTTATCTGGAAGAAAACAAAATTGGTATTATATTCTACGTTCTTTGGTAAATAATTACTTACTAGTAATTTTAGACAAGTAACTCCAAAAACAGCCCTTTCAAATGCATAACTGTCTCATGTTAAAATATGTGTTCTCAGATAGCAAACTGTTTGCCAGAGGATTTCCATTCACCAATAACTGTGAAATATAAGGTGACAGCATACATTAATATCATCATGTTTAGTAAGAAATAGGTCTGCAGGAGCTTCTAAAACTGCATTCTTTAGTTTCTTATGTAAATTCCAAGTAAAAGTCAGAAAACTCCTGAAGGAAAAACGCATCTGCTAACACTGTAACTCAAGACCTTCTATTGTTGACTTAGAACCCTTATACCAATTTATCCCCTTTCAGTTTTTCCCCCTATTTCCTTGCTAAACAAAAAATTAACAATGACTTAAAAACAGAAAAATCAGCCTTTTTCACTGAAAAGTACATGTCAATTTCCGAGGACATTACTTGGCCTAGAAGTGTTATGTCATTAATCTGCAAAACACACCCGTACATGACCTGGACAGGCTTAAGAGGTGGGCCCATGCCATCCTCATGAAGTTCAACAAGGCCACGTGTGAAGTCCTGCACCTGGGTCAGGGCAATCCCAAGCACAGATACAGGTTGGGCGAAGAATGGCCTGAGAGGAGCCCTGGGCAGAGGGATTTGGAAGTGTTGATCGATCAGAGATTCAATACGAGCCAGCAGTGTGCGCTTGCTGCCCAGGAGGCCAACCACATCCTGGGGTGCATCGAGAGAAGTGTGACCAGCAGGTCCAGGGAGGTGGTTCTGTCTGTCTACGCTGCTCCTGTGAGACCCCACCTGGAGTATTCTGTCCAGATGTGGAGCTGTTGGAGCAGGTCCAAAGGAGGGCTACGAACACGATCAGAGGGCTGGAGCGCCTCTGCTAATGGGGACAGGCTGCAGAAGTAAAAGCTTCGAGGAGACCTCACAGCAGCTTCCTGGTACCTGAAGGGGTCTACAGGAAAACTTGGGAGGACTTTTTATAAGGGCAGGTAGTGAAAGGATGAGGGGAAGTGGCTTCAAATTGGAAGATGGCAGATTTAGATTACATATTAGGAAGGAATTATTTACTGTGAGGGAGGTGAGACACTGGAACAGGTTGCCCAAGGAGGCTGTGGATGCCCAATCCCTGGAAGCATTCAAGGCCAGGCTGGATGTGGCTGTGAGCAACTCGGTCTAGTGGGAGGTGTCCTTGCCTACAGAAGGTGGGGTGGAACTAGATGATCTTAAAGGTCCCTTCCAACTCAAACCATTCTGTGATTCTATACAGAAAATAACATAGTTACCAAAACAAAGAACAGTGTGTGTGTAAATGGGATTACACAAAACAGTGGCCAGCTGTTTCTTGAAACTGAAGGTTAGCTAAGTTTGGAGATCAATCTGGGATGAAATCTTATATAGAGTAATGGCATCGAACTACTCCAGGCTTAATATCAAGGCAAGATTTGTCCTTCCATTTCCACAGTGCAAATACATGAAGAAATATTTACAGACTGATGGGAAAAGCGTGACTGTCCAAAACTTTCTTCTGTCCCCCCCCACTTCTCATCACATTCTGTGTACAGCTGCAGAGAGCAAATGTAGAAAGAATGAGTTTCTAGGGTTATTTAATGAGTTTCCCTGTTAGCTGATGGTCTGATTGTCCGTGCTATTTTAGAAGACTAAAGTGAGTGCAGTAGAACATCAATTGCTGTCTCTTAGGACCCATATTCCATTAATGAACTCCTATTCTCTCATTACTGCAGGGCATGGATTAGAGATGTGGAGGAAAATGTATGAGCTCAATACCTTCAGAATTCTTTTATAAGTAACAGTTAGCAAGATTACTTCTTTTAAATTTCAATACTGGAAGGATTTCACAAGGGCCACCCTCTTGCCTCTTCTTCTGGTCCTGGAGGGCAGCAGGAATTTCCACATTTATATTAAACGTCTATAATGTAATTATTAATTAGAGCTCACCTCAGGTATCCCCGAGCCACAGGCATATGGAGCAAAAACCTTCACCAGACAAACCGCTAAGAAGGCAAAGCTCAAAGCCCAGAAAATGTACATTATGTAGTTCATTATGTATGAACCTGGACCCTAAAGACAAGAAGAAAAACCCAGAAATGTAAGAATACAGATCTGGTGTAGGAACAAAGTTACTGTTTAAATCAGCAGAGAAGTACTCTTCTTGTAATGTACTTGTGTGTACACATTTCAAGGGACAGTAACTATTACCAAGCCACCAGAATGTTGGCTTTGTCTGTAAAGCACAGCAGAGACGACACTATACGAGTTAAAAAGTGTTCTAACACTTCATTTTATGAAAAAATCTACTGAATACCAAGAATGTCTTCCATATTAAGAATTGGTTCAGAGAGAAAAATAAAAGCAACATTCATTGTTATTTAAGGACGTGAAGCTGAATTTCTTTCATTTTTTTCTTTTTGTTTCGTATGATCGTGAGCAAAAATTCTCATGTTATTAATAGCTCTATACTCTCCTTGTAACTTCCTTACATCTGCAACGCTCCAAGTCCTCTTGCAGTGTGTAAAAGACACACTTATTAGAGTATAACTAATTAATTAATTAAAATGCTGAAAGCTGAGTAGAACCCAATCCCCATTTTATTACCCTAGCTGTTCTTTTCTGTAGTCAGTAGAGCTGTTGAGCAGTGATTCCACAGAACAAGTATATACTTACTTCTGCTTGCCCAATTATTAGTTCTGCCCAAGTTTTCCATTGTGGACATTTATCTCTCTCTTCAAACGTGGTCTCATTTGAACCCCAGCAACATTGTTCATGGTTAAACCACAAAGCACTAAGGCAAATGCCTTCCTTCAAGTCAGTCATCCAGTCAGCAGCAATGTCAATTAATCCTGCCAGCGCCCCTGTTGTAGAAATAGTTAGACATTAATTCATGTAAACTGAGATTACAAGATATCTGAAGAAAGAAACGTTTAAAACGTCACTGATTTCCAGAACAATATTATATTAGCAATACAGCGAGATTAGTATTTCCTAATCTAGTATCTAATAATATAAGATAATAAAAATAATCTAATAATAACTAGATAAGAATCTAATATCTTGCTTATGTCTCAGGATCATCACAGAATCGCACAGCCGCAGGATGGCTGCAGGGGGCAGGGCCCTGTGGGTCTATCTGCTCCAACCCCAGCTCCAGCAGGGCCACCCAGAGCAGTCTCTCTTCACAGGTAGGCATTCCAGTTCCTTCCCCATCTCTATGGCCTTCTGCTGGACTCCTTCCAGCATGCCCGGGTGTCCAGAAAAAATAATGTCTCTTCCCCTCCCTTTTTCTTTTCCCTCTTCTTTTACCCAAGCTATACTTCTCCAGTAGTCCACTACAACAGATGAGTTAAGAGTCAAAAGAGGACTCTCATTGTTTTCTGACAAAAACCATAAAGCACCTTCTGACAAACAACATGGTCAGGCTTCAAAGGACTCCTTAGCTATTAGAGTACAGTTTGTACAGAACAAGATATTTTAAACAAATAATTCTTACCATGCCAACAATAGTGTTAGAACATCGTAAGTAAATACCATACAAATGTCTCAGGGTGAATGAACACGTAAAATTCCTACTGCAGGTAATAAGCAGTAAAGAAAAAAGTAGCTCTCCAACTCAAAGCTTAAGAGGGATTCTGTGTGGCAACTATATGCTGAAAACCTACTGAAGAGCCCTCAAAAAGGTATTAGGTAGGAAATTGCTTCTAAGGGTTCTTTAAGAAGTATTTAACAACCTTCTTTAAAGGAAAGAAAAAAACAAAACGCTTCCATGTGGCAACAGTATATTGAAAAAATCTGAAGTCATCTCTTTTTGTGAACCTGTACAACTGTTAATTAGCTGTACTTTCCTATTTTAAGGTATTAATCACTACCAGAAATAGCTGTCAAGTGTCAGCCCCTGAGCTTACTTGTGTAAAATCACAGAACGGCCAGGGTTGGAAGGGACCTCAAGGATGATGAATCTCCAACCCCTGCCACATGCAGGGCCACCAACCTCCCCATTTAATACCAGCCCAGGCTGCCCAGGGCCCCATCCAACCCGGCCTTGAACACCTCCAGGGATGGACGGGGCATCCACAGCCTCTCTGGGCAGCTGTTCCAGCACCAGTCTGAGTTCCAGAAACATTTTCTCCTGATTTACTCATCTATATTTACTAGTTTCCAGAGACCCTCAGTTTGAGATTCTGGGCAAAACAAATTCTAACACAATGTTTCAGTAGAATTTAAATTCTATCGTCTGAAATACAAACATTACGACTTCTCCATGACTGAAATCAAGGTTATCCTACTTCAGACTCACTGGACACATACAAGAGAAAACAACTGAGACTGAAAAAAACTGAGGAATGTCCATGGACAGAATTTGCTAGCTTTGGTGCACAGAAGCACAGCAGTCATTTTAATATGCACTGCAGCTTTGGAGCAGGAGGAAGGGAAAAAAGAAAGACAAGACCTAGGCCACACAAAACCACAGTCACTCAGATTAACATAAGCAATTTCCGATAATTATACACTCCCAGTTTGTATATTCAGAGGTATAAACACACTTTGCATATACATTAACCTATGTGTGATTTGTGAAAGTGGTTACGTATGTATGTTAAGAAGTAATTATATACTTACTATGCCTTCTTAATAAGTGTATCCGTGTTATGCAATATGATCAAATCCTCCTAGGATTTAATCTAACAGTTCTGTTTGAAAACACCTGTTTGGAAAAACTGGGCAAAAAGTTTGCAGCCTCTTCCTCCTGCACATTTTGGTCACTCCAAACCCAAACTCCAAATGGAAAGCAGCGTGGCAACACAGTGAGGCCACAAACTAGCAAACAATCTTAGCTGTAGAACTCACCCCTAAAATAAATTCAGTGGAAAAAGGTTTTGTTTCCTATTTCATTAGTAAATCCTTCCTGTAAAATGCTTTTACCTATAAATCAAGACAGCCACTGTTTTCTTTCCCTCACGAAATTAAAGAGCAAGCCTCAGCCAGCTTTTGACAAAGTTGGTAGATAACACACAAAGGAAGAGTAAAAGAAAGAAATACTTTTTGTTTTTTAATTACCTGATGCCAAGCCAGTAAGTGTGACTACAAGCCATCCTGACCATGCATCATACAAACTCTTTGTCATCTCCCATGCTGATTCCTTCTTCTTGCTGTTAATCTGCAGAGAGAAATCATTACACATAGTTGTGGGTTTTTTTCCCAATAATGTGAGAAAACAGAAAGTATAAATATGTTATGCATCTAGCTGAAAGTTGTCCTCAGCTTGTTGTTATGATTATCCAAATGTCTTAGGATTTTTCATACTGTTAAGGAAGAGACAAAGTAGGTGCCACAAACAAAGGGAGTGAGAAAGAAAAATATACAATAAAAATAAGAAGAAAGCACAATAGTAGGCAAGGAAATCCAGACAAGAATTAACATCCCTAAAAGAAATGCATTTATTTTCAGAATCTCCCCCCTCAAATCAGCTTTCTGCAGCAGCATGTCTTTCAAAGTACATCCTGCCCTCTCTTACATCCCTGGTTGCAGGGCTAGACATTCTCCTGTCATTCAGGGCATATTTATAAATTTCCTAGTAGTTCTGTAACTGTAAATCCTGTAAACTGTAAATTCTGTCCAACTTGTCTGGTCTCAGATGTTAAAACAAGTAATAGCTGTGAGACTTCACATCATCTATTCCCAGATGTGATCTGTGTCGTCATGATTTGGTGACTGCTATCATTCTATCCCCTTGCATATCCACTAGATATTAACAAACACATCTGTGGCACAAACACATTTAGAAATGAAATTATGGAGTAAAGCATTGCACAGAAAACACCTTACTTAAAAAAAAAAAACAAAAAACATTCAATCACAGTACGTGTGTGCACAGATCCATTGCCCAAGGATCTTTCACTCCCCCAAAAAAACTACAGACAGTGGAAGTGAGGATGCTTTGCTTTTTGGACTGGTGTTAAGATTTTTTTTTCAATCACATCAGAGTAAAAACACTGCATTCACCCTACATTTGCTTCCAGAAAGCTAAAAATGGATGTCCTCAAAGAAAGCAGAATAACCACAGAGTATTGAATGGGAAAAAGTCTCTTTCCTGACTCCTCCCTGCAATTATGACTCATTTTTAACTATTCATTTTGATCAGCTAAAAATATTTCAGGAGAGATTTCATCTCCAAATTCAGTTTTGCTTTTTGAGCAATTTAATGTAAGCATTCCGAAAGTTTTGCAGTCAGGCTCCAAACAGTGTATTTCTTCCCAAAGATTACTAAACAAGTCTGTTAAATGACTGATGCCATCTTGTCCAACAGTAATACAGCCAGAGCCCAGTTCATGAAAGAACTCGTAGCGGAGAACACTGAGGAAGGTGAATGGCCTCAACTTAGAAGACTTGATAAAGAAATGAAGTTTGGGGATGGGAGGGTGGAAAGAACATCCCCTATATTGGGTCCACCTTTTTTTGTTAAACATATACATGCTCGTAAGTGCTTTTAGATATGAGAATTTTCACTTTTCACAGTCAAAACAACCCCAGCACCACAAAGCAGTAGCACAGACACACTTGTACAGTACAGGTATCACCACAAGCACTGTCAGACTACTGCAAATTCATGTATGGTGGAAAACAGCCTTAAGTATACAACAACTGCAAGCAAAACAGTACTGTGAAACTGTGCTGGGGAATGGGACGTGGAGAGGAGGGAGGCAGAGCACGACTATTCCCACTCAGTTAAATTACTGCTTCCTTTTCGAGTCACAATGCTGTTGCAAGATTGCAGGGATCAGTGAATCAGTGCTTTATTTATAGTACGAGGGTCGTTCTAGTTGGTAAACATACTTACAAATGTAAAGTCTGCCTATATTTATACCCATTACTAACCCAGACCCCAACTCTAGCACCCAAACAAACATGTCTTCCAAGTACTGTTATTGATCTCATGTACCCGTCTGTGCCTTTCTCTGTCTTTGCACTTCTCTCGAACCCAGTCAATGGTATGGAAGTCATCGTACGTTCCTACTCCAGGAATTGGTTCATCCAGAAGATCCAGCAAATGTGTTGAACTGTTGATGCTTCCTCCATTTGTCATTGTATAATGAGTCCCTGTGGCAGAGGAAAGACAAAAATTCTGTAATAAACTGGAGCACTGTAATGTTCATGACACGGCGTACAAAATTGCTGTGCAGGTAATTAACACACTTCCTGTAATACGTGTGTGCTATTTCATTTAGTTGTTGTGGGTTTTTTTGTCATTCAACTGTAGGTTAAATTTTCCCATTAGCAACTTCATCTTTCACGTCGTTTAAATAGAAATTAATGTATCACTGTCAAAGTATTGTTCCACTTTGTGTGCAGACTCCTGAGAAATTTCAGTAGAACCAGCTGAAAAAATGAGTGGCTCTGACACGTTTAACTTGAAATTTATTTCTGTTTATGAACTACTGGAGGAAAAATTGACTTAGGGAACAAAATCAGATAGCAGATGAAGTTGATAGCGCCTCTAGTTGCTAGCTATTTCTCGGTATTCATACTGTTGTTCATCACTCTCCTACACGTCTGAATTAAACCTAAGTATTATCAACAGATCATGTGAATGCAGCTAGAAAATGAGAGCAAGTCAAGCAAGTAGGTTGGGTTTTTTTTTTTCCTCATTCCAGGCAACTCACAGAACAGACCTCAGTCATGAAAAGTTGAAAATTCTGTAAATAGGAAATGTCTTCTACCAATTTATCATCCTAATTCCTTTACAGCCAGCTTGCACAGCAAAACCCCCCAGTGGTATTTCTTTCAGTGATCAGACTAAAAAGAGCACGAGGACTGTAGGGAATTTCTCCTTCCTCCAAAGAGGACCAACAGCTTTTGTCTTTTTAAGCTTACATATGTCAGCATTTCTGCAGTATCTTTTGGTATACTGCAGATGGTATGGTACATTTTGAGTTCCTGGGTACCTTTACAGACTCCAAGTATAATTTTCTTCTGGATACCTGTGTGAACATCGCATGGCTTTCATTCCCCCACCCTGAGCGCTTCCGCAGCAGGAAATGCCATAAGGAGAACATTTATATTGAGGTTAAAACAGACAACAATGACTTAAAGAGTGGTTACTCTCACTTGTTTGACCACAAACAAAATAATTTGGCCAATGCAAACGGTACACCACAATAATGTCTTAAAGATGAAATCACAAGTTGGCCAGCGCTACTGTCAGCTCAGATGGGCTCAGCCTCTTGGTGGCATTAGGATTTTTCAACACATCAAAAAAATCTTCCAAGACCCAACCTGGAAACTGTTTTTAAAGGTACTGTCTCCTGGGTAATCAAACAGTGCACAATAGACTTTTATGAGGTTCTGAACCATGTGCTTGCTTATCTAAACAATTACCCAACATTGTCTATAGAAGAAATGTACACAGCTTCCACAGAGACCGGAACCTGGACATGAATAGGTTCAAGAGGGTGGCTGGCAAGCCAGAGACCAGAACTTTATCACGAATTCTAAGACCCCCTACGTATGCCATACAGCATATGATCTGCATCTTCTGAATGCATATCACAAAATACTCAGCTTGCATCAGCTTGGAGCATTTTCTGAAATGAAACATCTCTCAGGACACAGCAACGCAGCAAGGCTGAACCAATCTTGTCCACCCCATTTCTACCTCCCAGTCATGGGAGTGGAGAACTTCCACTCTCACCCCTGGATCAGCTCTGTCACACCATGAGTCTGCACAAAAAAAACAATCTAAAATGCTGATGCAACTAAGCAGCAAAAGCATACTCTGCCTTTGCACAGACATAGAGTCAAGGTACTGTGCTTTCAGCCAAGAACAGAGAGAGAGAAGAGATGGGGAATGGTGAACAGGCTCAGCACAGCAGCAAACTATCAGACCAGTTACACCGAAATACACGAACGGATCCTTGGGGTCTTGTTAAATTTTAATTATGTCTTTCTGCTGGAAACAATTCAGAACTCCTACATCAATATTAATATCCAGCCAGTATACAGCAATATCTGTTTCACAGAGCCCAAAATCCCCAAAGATGACTGTTTAAAAAGGTTTCAGGAGTGTGAACACAATAGATAAACAATGTCAATAGATTCAGGTTAGATATAAGGATTTTTGTCTTTTACAGTGAGAGTGCTGAGGCACTGGAACAGGTTGCTCAGTGATGAGGTGAGGCTGGATAAAGTCCTGGGCAGCCTGAGGTAGCTGTGCTGATCCTGTGCATTGCAGGGGAGTTGGAATACACGGCCTTCAGAGGTCCCTTCCAACACTGGGAATTCCGTGATAATGGAACCAATGTCAGAGCAAGTACAGGACTCAATTTCTCCAAGGTATTTCTCTATAATCTACTGAATGCTGACACCCACAATAAGAATTCATTAGTTTGCTGCAGCTCACACAACCCTTGCTCCAGAAGATGCACAACTACACAGTACTCTGCTCAGCTGCAGTCCGCCTGGCTGACATCCATGCAATGTGTTCTATTTGTGTTACTTTCAGCAGTGAGAAAGGAGGGAAAAAAAATGCACTGCTGTGAGTGAAAATGAAGCTCATCAGTTTACACCAGAAGCAGGAATAAGCCCTCCTTGACATGCCCATAGAAACCTGCTGAGTGCTGAAATCAGCAGGGGCTGCATCTTTCCAGAAGCCAGATACTAATCCAAGGCTTTGGTTCACCCGTGTCCTTGGGCATTAGGCAGCAAGGGGAATAGAGGCAGGGAAGAGTCCTGAGTGCAATGTACACCGTAAGGATTGTTTACACTCATTACAAAGAAGATTTGTATGCACAAGGTACGTCGCAGTGCCTGAGCTGCTTTCTGTATCGGTATTCAGACTTCAAAATAGAAGGCTTTCAGTGAAAGGAGAAAAAAAAAGAAACCACTGGCAATTTATTTAAATTTGTCAGTAATCACTCAAGAAAAGGCATTAAGCATTATTGTCTTTTCCAGACCAGAAAATAACTACTAAATTCCATGATGAGAAGCACAGTATGCTCCGCTGGGTGAAACACTGGCTGGATGGCCAGGCCCAAAGAGTCCACGTAAGTGGAGTTAAATCCAGCTGTGGCCGGTCATGAGTGGTGTCCCCCAGGGCTTGGTGCTGGGGCTGCTTCTATTTAACATCTTTATTAACCATCTTGATGTGGGGATTGAGTGCACTCTCAGTAAATTCACAGATTACACCAAGTTGGGAGGGAGTGTTGATCTGCCTGAGGGGAGAAAGGCACCACAGAGGGACCTGGATAAACCAGATCAATGGGCCAAGGTAAACTGTGTGAGTTTCAACAGTGTCAACTGTCAGGTCCTGCATTTTGGCCACAACAACCCCAGGCAACCCTACAGGCTTCGGGAAGCATAGCTGGAAAGCTGCCTGATGGAAAGGGACCTTGGTGTACTGCTGGACAGTGGGCTGAATATGAGCCAGCAGTGTGCCCAGGTGGCCAAGAAAGCCAAAGGCATCCTGGCTTGGATCAGGAATGGAGTGGTGAGCAGGACCAGGGAAGTCATCCTGCCCTGTATTCAGCACTGGTGAGGCCTCACCTCGAGTGCTGTGTTCAGTTTTGGGCACCTCAGTACAGAAAGGACATGGAGGTGCTGCAGCAGGTCCAGAGAAGGGCAACAGGGCTGGTGAAGGGCTTGGAGAATATGGCCTCTGAGGAGAGACTGAAGGAACCGGGGCTGTTTAGACTGGGGAAGAGGAGGCTGGGGGGAGACATTATTGCTCTCTTCCAATATCTGAAGGGTGATTAGAGGGAAAGTGGGGTTGGTCTCTTCTCACTGGTGACAGCTTGAGTTCCAGGGAAAGTTTAGGTTGGATATCAGGAAACACTCCTTTACAGAAAGGGTTGTGAAGCACTGGAATGGGCTGCCCAGGGAGGTGGTTGAGTCACCATCCCTGGATGTGTTTAAGAACCGTTTGGATGTGGTGCTCAGGGACATGATTCAGCAGAGGGCTGTTAGAGTTAGGGCAGCATGGTCAGGTTGTGGTTGGACTCAATGATCTTTAAGGTCTTTTCCAACCTGAGCAAGTCTACGATTCTATGCCAGAGTGTATCATTCACTACCACTGAGAACCAATGACCATTAAGTCCCTGTAAACAAGTAATACTTTACCCATTGCACAGTTAACAAATTTTCAGCCTCTTTAGGTTGATTTCCTAAAGTGCATCAAATCACCTGTTTCACCAGCTACAAACTGCTCTCTGCTTTACAACCAATATTCATACAAAATGACTACAATACAGCAGCTGAAGAAAAAAAATCAGCTACAAATCTAAAATACCAGGAAATCAGGAAAACTCTGAACAAGATTTAAAGAACAGGGAAAATACTCAAAATGCTTTACAAAGTGGGGAGCAATAATCCTCTCCTCTCATTCCTTCTGGGAGAAAAAAAAAATCTAGTTTAAAAAAATCTTTAAAAAGTAGGAGCTAGGAAAGTTGTACGGGGGTACCTCAGAGTGAAGCAGAGAGTTCTGTATACCTGCATGCACTGCCAGCACAGGAGAATCTGAGAAAAAGGCAAGGTGGGAAAACAGTGCTTCTTATGTAGAACATGTTAAAAAATACAAATAGCTTTGGCTTTGTATGGGAACTGCTGAGTCAGGCCTGAAGCTCTGATTGATCACCTGAGGTGAGCACTGTCAGCCAGAGGAGCACAGCTGAAGGCAATTCACCTTTGCTGCAGGAAGGGGAGGTGCCTGGCTGCACCTCTTCTGTTTAAGAGCTGGTTACCAGGGGGGAAGGATTTTTTCTAAAGATCATCTCTGCTGGTGTTTTGTGAGTGAGCCCAGCATAGAGGTAAGTCTTCTATTTATTTTCTTTTGTTATTATGGTCTGCTTTGCTTAACTGTCTTCTTTATTTTGTAATTATAACATCCTGGTATTCTTTGATTACATGAGCTTTTACTTCAGTAGAAGAATCAGTTCTCGTTTCTTAGAAACAGAAGGAACAAAAAAGCTTTATTATTAGAGATTGCTTTTGTCTTGAATTACGCAGAGAGTACAGCCCATGTTGTAACAAATAGTGACTTTAGATGCATGGCTTTAGGTGTACAAGTGAAGCATTATAGGGATCCTTATGCAGTTGATTTTACTGAT